AAATAGGCCAAGAATGGATTTTTTTTCCTTTTTGGGTCACACCCAGTAATGCACAGGAGTTACTCCTGCTCTGCACTCAGGAATTACTCCTGGCTGTGCTCAGGGGACCACATGGGATGCTGGGAATTGAACCCAGGTCGGCTGCATGCAAGGCAAATGCCCTCCCTGCTGTACTATCGCTCCAGCCCCAAGAATGGATTTTTTTAAAATTTCCTTCTATCACCTCTTGATCTCTGTATAGCCTTTTGTGGGGAGCTGGTTTTGGGGCCATACCCAGCTGTGCTCAGGGGTTACTCCTGGTTCTGCCTTCAGGGAGAAGGTGGGCTCTCCCTGAAGATGGTGGGCTCAGGGCACCATATGGGATGCCCGGGATCAAACCCAGGTCAGCTATGTGGAAGAGAAGTGCACTACCCACTGTACTATCTCTCCAGCCCCTATATAACATTATAATACTGATCTTTTCTCTAAACCAGCTCTGTCTAGAACTTTCTGTGATGAAAACATTGTATGTTGTCCACCACACAGTAGCAACTGGCCACATGTAGCCACTGAACACTAAAAACGTGGCAAAAGAGTACAGAATCTAATCTAGATATTTTTTTTTGGTTTCTATTTGGGGGGAGTGGGGAGGCCATATAGACCATACTCAATGGTCCCTGGGGATGGCGTGTTACTTCTAACACAGTGCTCAGGGGTCACTCCTGGTGGTACTGGGGAGGCATGCAGTGCCAGGAATCAAACCTTCCTCATGTGTAAAGCATGAGCTCCTGTCCTTTGAGCCAACTCCTCAGCCCTAGAGTTGAATTCTTAAAATGAATTACAGACAGATAAAACAAATTTTATTCATTGGCAATGCAGAACTGTCTAGCCTGAACTTCTAATTCACAACCTTAATGCAAATTGAGGAGGCTATGTTCTTGGCACTGAACCGCCTGTTATTTCTCACTGAATGATGCTCTTACAACCTTAACAAAGCAAAAAGCCAGCGTGTCTTGTATTTCCGGGAGCTCGCTCTCTGTCTGAGCCCAGAGGTCTGGATGTGTCCCGGGAGATGGGGCAGGAAGCTCATCATCAGAGAGGAAGTCAGTTCATCCACCAGCTCGGACTCGGGGGCGTCTGGGGCAGGGAGGAAGGAGGGTGGGAGGGTGTGAAAGGGACCACTCTGGGGGCTGGCCACTGGCTGTGCTGCATTTATTTATATAACAGGCTGCTACAGTGTGTGTGTGCTGTCGCTGAGGAACCCATCCAGGTCTAAGGGAAGGGGACAGACATCGTCTTTGTCCATGTCCCCTGGCATCTCGTACCACTGCTCAAAGGGTGCGCGAAGCCCCAAGGGTGGCAGAGCAGGAGAGGAGGACAGCTCTGGGCAGGCAGACAGTGGACAAGAGGAAGTTGAGTCACTTGCATGTTGGCAGCCCAACTGATACAAGTGACACTGGTAACAGTGTATCCCTGACTGGGACAACCTTCACTGCCCAGAACACAGTGACAGAGGGAGCTGTGGGACCACCACTGGCAGTGTGGAGAAGAGGCCGTGTGCCAAGTTCTGGTCTCGTATAATCAGAGCACAGATTCTGGCCTCTGTTTTCAGAGCTCAGCAAGCAAGATCTCCACATCCCTGCACAGAGCAATCATCCTGGAACCCGGTAGCCCAGTAGTATGCCTCCCCAGCTCCAGGTGGGAATGCTCAGTTACAGGACTGGCCATGTTCTAGTTCACCGCTGAGCCTCACATAAATGCCTGTGCTCTGCGCTCAGGGTGCCTCAACACCACGAACCTGGTCCTGCTTCTTGCAAATCCTCTGCTCACCTGGGAACTCCCCTGTCTCCAGCTCCTTCCCTTTATTGCTCCCTTCCATACAGTAACACCCTTCACTGCAAAATCTTAGCATGCAGCAAGTGTATCAGGCCACAAAAGAGTGAGCTACTCATTTCTTCCCAAGCAGCAAGATCCCAGAAGTCAGCTTAATTAACATTTCCCTTCTCCTTCCAGAGTTTTCTTTTTTTTAAAGATGTATTAAAGAACCATGATTTACCAGGGGCTGGAGAGATAGCACAGCAGGTAGGGTGTTTGCTTTGCATATGGCCCACCCGGGTTCAATTCCCAACATCCCATATGGTCCCCTGAGCACCGCCAGGAGTGATTCCTGAATGCAGAGCCAGGAGTAACCCCTGTGCATCACCGGGTATGACACAAAAAGCAAAAAAACAAAAACAAAAACATGATTTACAAAGTTCTTCGTAGTTAAGTTTTAGACATATAATGTTCTAGTATCAATCCCATAACCAATGTCAAGGTCCCTCACCAGTGTTCCCCAGTTCCTGCTGACTCTATGGTCTGAATATTCAGCTCTACTCTCCCCCATGTTACTGATGTACCAGAGGCCCTGGACCCCTGCTCCCCCCGCCCCTTACTTTTGTGGTTCCCCATTTGTAAAAATTTCACCCGTGGCCCAGGAGGACTATTCCCACTCTTGCACACACCTTCACCTTCACTGGCACTTTGGCACTGGCACAGAAAATGCCTTTAGCCCTCCCTCTGCTCTGACCCAGCAATTCTAAGTCCAGGAATGTACTTAAAGGAAATAATTAAGGATGTCCGCAAGGCTTTCCTTCCAAGGATGTTTACCCCCACTGTTGTTTATAATTGTGAGTAATTGGAAACAACCTTCATGCCCTCAAGGAGAGCCCAGGGACTGAGTTAAGAGACCAGCCACCAGTCACTAAGTCAGTCAACCGACGCCAGAGCCAAATGTGAAGAGAGAGTCAGGGTAGCTGCAGAGTCCCCAGGGCCAGATGTGATCAACTGAGGAAGGCAATGCTGGGGGTGGAGCTCAGCGGAGAGCACCTGCGTGGCCTGTGTGCGCATCTGTGTTCAAACCAGTGCACCACACACACACACACACACACACACACACACACACACACACAACACACACACACACGAAATAAAAACAAAACTGCAGGGCTGGAGCAATAATACAGCAGGTAGGGCAATTGCCTTGCAAGTGCTGACCTAGATCGGATTCCTGGCAACCCGTATAGTCCCCCAAGCAGCACCAGGAATAATTCCTGAGGGTAGAGCCAGGAATATCCTGAATACTTTGGTTTTGGTGTGGCCTAAAAACAAACAAACAAAAAAAAACAAAAAAAAATACCAACCAGGAGGTGACTATCTTTAATATTTAAGACAAAGGTGTTGACTATAGAATTACGTCAAGACGATGAGTGCAAGTGGCAGGCCCCGGGCTGAGGTTCAGTAGCTTTACAGGAAGTCTCAACCCTAGAGAAATAGACTCGGAGGAGAGGCTGGAAGGTCTTTTGCTCCAGGAGGCACAGGGACCGGGACTAGCAGTTGAATCTGCTGCAGATAACATTCGAGCTCTAGAGATGATGGCAAAAGGGAGAGGAGAGGAAAAGTATAGGAAATCGATGGAAACCAGCACAAGGACAGAAAACACGGAGCTCAGCAACAACTAAGCCAAACTTAGAGCAGTGTGGCAGAGAAAAGGGAAGACGACGTGCTTCATACACAGAGGGCAGGAGACAGTGCAAATGGCCAAGGTGATGTTCAATCCCAGCACCACATGGTCCCCTGAGCAATGTCCAAGGGAACCTAAAATTTTTCTTAAAATGTTTAAGAGATGGGTCGAGGCAGCTAACGCTTGGGCACAGGTAACGCTTGTGGTTCCATACCAGCACCGCATGGTCCCCCAAGCAGCCCTAAGTGTGACTCTGAAATGCCTAGTATCGCTGATGGTAGTCTCTGGTATCTCAGCCTTAGACTGAACTGCCAGCCCAGCTGGTCAGCAGAGGCCCAGGGACCCTAAGCACTGTTCCCCAAAGAAGATGGGTCAGCACAGTAGCTTGCTCAGGATGGAGGGGGACGAGGCACTCGGAACTTGCAGCCTGGAGGCCCCGACCACCAACCAAGGTGTCTCCATTCTCCTGGGAAGGGAGTGACACCCTCCTTCCTTGCACAGGCCCTGCTCAGACAGACAGGTAGGGGTACCTTCCTTGCCAGCTCTGCTCTTGACTTCCCTGGGTATGGGTCACCCACGTGAGCCCATCCAACACCCTGGGGACAGGACCAAGCACCTGTCCTTCCCGTTCACAGAGCTTCTGAGGCCGTCCCCAGGGAGTTCCAGTCCCCAGCCCAGAGTGGCCCTTCTAACCACCCTCCACTCCATCTGGTGGTTGTTCAGTGCTGGAAGTTGGGGTGGGTGACAGGGAAGTGGCCTTGAGACCCAGGGGGTCTTTCAGAACTGGGTGTCTTGGTGGCAACACTCCTGACTTAACCATCCCGAGTGAATGGTAAGGGGCTGTCTGGTCTCAGAACCCCCTCCCTGCCCCTAATGACGGAGGCCTTGGGTTTACGCACCCCAGCTTGAGGGAGGGGCGGGAGCTGGGGTTAGTTAATTCAAGCAGGGATGCTCTGGCAGGCGACTACAGCTTCAAACCCACCAGGGCGGACTGACTCTGGCCGCTGGGGCACGACCTCATCTGGGAGACGCTCTCCCAGGAGGGAGCCGGTGGCTGTTCGGTCTCTCTTATGCTAGAAGACAGAGAAGGGACACGCGCCGGTCTCCCCCTGCGCCTCCCACCGGGATGCCCCGCTCAGCTGCAGCGCCGGAGTGAGAACGACAGTCCCGGGACGTTTGGCCCGCAAGGGTCTCCAGGGAACTGCATCCCGTTCCCCCAAAAAAGGACTTTGGCAGGGAGAAGGGGGGGGTGCGCCCCCGAACGTACACCCTTCTTCCCCCCTTCAGCTCCTGGCTGCCGGGGTTTCCCTCAAAGTTCCCGCAGACCGGGGGTGGAGTGAGGAGGGTGGCTCCCCGTCAAAGTGCGTCCAGGGCGCCCTGGGGTAGCTAGGGGGCGACTCGGGCGGGCGGGCCGCGCGCACCGGGCTGAGCGCAGCGGAGGCGTCCGAGGGGCCCCCCGCGGGCCGCCGGCGTGGACGCGGCCGGAAAGGCGGCGGCGGGTCGGGGCGCGGGCACTCACCAGCGCGTGTTGTCGTGGACGTGCTCCAGCACCGCGTAGCCGAAGAAGGACGCGGCGGGCCCCTGGAAGCGCACGGGCCGCGCGGGGTCCAGGTTGTAGGCGCCCGCGGGGGCGACCGCGGCCACGAGCGCCAGCAGCAGCGCGCGGAGTCCCCCGGCGCCCCTCGGAGCCGCGGGGCCGCCCATGCCCGCCGACCGCCGCCCTCCTCCTCCTCGCTGCCGCGCGGCGATCGCCGGGCCCGAGAGCGCTGGGGGCCGCGGAGACGCGGAGCGCGGGCGAGCCCCGGGGTGGCGGCCGGGACGACTGCGCGCTCCGAGCCGGCGGCTCCCGGGCCGGGAGGCTCTGGGCGGCGAGAGGCGCGTCCGCGGGGTGGGCGGCCGGGGCCGCGGGGGCGGTGCGCGGCGCGGGAGCGCCCCCTGCCGGTCCCGGCCGGCCTCGGATCCCCAGGGTGCACTCTGCACGTCTGGCAACTCTTCTCAGTCTCCTGCCGAGGACCGAAGGCGCGGGGTGAGCGTCCGACCTGCCCACCTGCGGCTCCTGCATCTAGAGAAACCGCGGACGCAGCAGCGCCGCCTGGACCACAGCCAGAGGGCGCGCGGAGCATCCCTTCAGCGAGTCACTCACACGGCCCCCCGCACCTGAGCCCCCTAGGTGTGGTCTCCGCCAGAGCAGCTTGGGCATCACAGGGGGGCGGCTTAGACATGCAGGCACGCACTCGAGACCCCCGAGTCTGCGGTTCTGTAGGTGCATTTAACTTGTGGCCCCTATCTCAGGTAAAGTTTCCCTTGGCAGTCGCGGCTCCCAGCCCTAAAGGACATCGTGTACACATGTTCACACACACACACACACACACACACACACACACACACACACACAGTGGCGGAGCCACCACAGCTGACACAGCCCTGCAAAACTAAAGCGCCAGGGCCCCGGGAGATCGCTGAAAGAGCCCAGCGTGAGCCTTGCACACCCCCCAACACCATCCAGGCACCGGAGGCTGGAGCCCTGGAGCCCCACCCCCACCCCGCAAACACCGCTGGTGGTCCCCAGCTCTGCTGGGTGGTAGTATCCCATCCCAGAGCCCAGGCACCGAGCCAGGAGTCATCCAGCCGGGTTGGATGTTTGTCACCAGGAGTGAAGCCCCTGAACATTGCTTGGAAGCCCCAAAACGCCCTCCAACTATCCATGAAATAATAGCTCCTCAGTCCCTCTCTTCCCAGACCCATTGGCAGCCACCACTTTTGTCATATGAGGGAAATCACAGTGTTTGCCGTTTTGTGACTGACTTATTCCACTTAGCAGTATCCTCCGAGGTGGCACTGTTCTAGCATGTGTGTCCATTGATTACTGTCTCCAAGTGAGTGTACCATGCTCTTTATCTTTTCATCCTCCAGGGCCCTGGGTTGATTCCACCTTCTGACTACTGTGAATAATAGATGAATTTTCTGTGCCTTGAACTTAGGTGTACAGATATGCATCCAGGCCTCTACCTTCCATTTTTAAGATAGATGCCAGAGCAGGATTGTTGGATCATGTAGTTTCCTTCACAGTCTCAGGGATCCTGAGAATCACTCTCCATGATACTCTGCCAGTTCTGTGGACAGTTTCATTCTGATGCTCCGTCATTTTATTTTCCACAGTCCTGTACCATTATTGCATTCCCGCTAACTTTATAAAATTCAAATTTTCCTACATGTTCACATCACATATGTGTGTGTGGTATGGTGCATGTGAGGTGTCTGTGTGTGGTGTGTCTCTGTATGTGCTTCTGTCTGTGGTATGTGGTATGTGTGTGGTATGTGGTGTGTATGTGCCCATGTGGTGTCTGAATATGTGTTTCTGTGTGTTGTGTGTCTATGTGTGTCTCTCTACTTGGTGTATACAAATGTGTGTGCCTGTATGTGTGGTATGTGCTTATACGTGTGTGCCTGTATATGTCTCTATGTGGTGAGTGTATGTGTGTGTGCCTCTGCAGCATGTTTGTCTATATGTGCGTCTCTGTGTGTAGTGCGTGTCCATGGTGTTTATATGTGTAGTGTGTGTCAGAGAGCAGTGGGGCACCCCACCATTAGGAAGATGGTATCTAATTGTGGCTTGATTTCCACTTCCCTAATGATCAGGGATGTTTGACATCTTCCCATGAGCATGTTGAACCATTTTTATCCATCTCAGGATAGGAGAAATACCAACTCAGCACCCTTGGCCATTTAGCAATCTGCGTTCCTCTCTCTGATTCTACCACATGGTATGGTGTGAGAATAAGCTTTCTTCAGCATATGATACAAGCAGCTTACATGCGTAGCATCTTACATCATCTTTGTGGCATCTCTTGAAAATAATATAGATTTTACAAAAGCAGAAACTAAGGCAGGATACCCTTAAAGTGATCAACATGAAAATGTACAATTACTGAATAATAGTATTGCAAGTGGAAGCTCAACTTTTTCTGGGAGGATATAAAATCACTTGCTTCCAGGGGCTCTGTTTTACTCTATTCCAATTGTAAGGTACTTTCTTCATAAGCTAACGATTTGTCCCTGATAAATTCAGCAGGGAACCCTACATATGAATGAATGATTTTTATCAAATACATTGTGCTTTGGAAGCTGGGGAGATAGCTCTACATGCTTTGCATGCAGAAGTCCCAGTCTGATTCCCAGCTTAGTGCAGTTCCCTGCATACCATGAGTGTAAGGGGAGACCCCTAAAACTGCTGGATGTGGTACCAGCCCCCCTAAAAAACACAAAATATATTGCACGTTATACATTATGCTTCTTATTGAACAGAGCAATGTCTCTTTATAGAAGTATGGATAGAATTAGCATCTAAATCATGTATGCAATTAAAGTTTTATTTCTAACTCACTTTCCCATTTTGAAAATGCCTTCACTACCTCTCAGGCTAGTAGTAAAATCAAAAATGGATCATTCCACTTTAAGTTCATGTATTTCTTCTTCTCCCACTCCTTCTCTCTCCACGACAAGCTGGACCTCAAAGATTTCTCAGTCTGATGACAGTTTAAAGCCCTGTCTTCCCTATTACTAATCTCTGAGGTATTTATCATAATAAAATAAACACGAGATTTTAAAATGTTACCAAAATTATTTCATGGTGGTCTTACAATTCATAAAGAATTGTAAGCAATGGTATTTGTGGGCAGTTAAACATTATCAATTTATTAAATGACTAAATGATTGTAGGAAAGATTTATGTATACGATATGAGTAATTAATGATGCAATAATTAAACTATGCAATCATCAAAAAGTATGAATGTCTATTGAACTGATCTCAGCAGGCTAGGAAACATGAATAACTTTAGTTTTCCCTGTAATTACCACCTACTATCACCTGGTCCACACATGGATAGCCTGTATGCAGACCTACCTCTGCAAACGAAGGCACATCACCCTCCCGGCTCTCAGGGTACAGAATTCCTCCTTCTAACAGTTAAGTTTTCTTTGGAATTAGCCCTCCTGAAGCTAACGGACTAGCTCTTAACAGCACAGCACTTAGGAGACACTCTTTCCACTTTTTAGTGGAATCAACACTGATACAGTGACCACAGGAGAGCAGCCAATTTTAGCAAAGAACGTCACCACTGTATCGGGGAGGAAAAATCCAGGCTCCACATGAGTATGCCTACGATGGCATATGTACCTTTTCATGCACTATCAATATATAAGTACAGGAAAAAGAGCACCAGAAGTTTCCATTGTGAATGATAGTTTAAGCTGAGATTATAGACTCGCCTTGCCTATCAAACAAACTAGCTAGCTATACTTCTGTATTGTTTGAACTACCCACAAAGCCAGCAATGTGGCATCTCTTACTTCCTGGACACCAAAGCATAAACCAAAGGGTAGCCTTAATCAGGGTGGGGAGTCAGGAGCCTGTGCATGAAGTGGCCTCTCCTCCAAATGACAAGATAACAGGATCTTCACCCAACAGGAAAAGAAAAGTGGAGAGAGAGAGTGCAATGGGTAGGGCGCTCACCTTGCATGTAGCTGACTTGGGTTCAATCCCCAGCAGCCCGTATTGTTCCCCCCAAGCCCTACCAGGAGTGATCCAGTCAGAAATATGCCCCAAATATAACCAGGTATGGCCCAAAGAACAAACCCCCCCCCCAAAAAAAAGGAGTTTAAGGCATCACAGTGACCCTTTTGGCCAAGCCCCTGCGCACAGCCCTGTCCAGTGGAAAGGCTGGCATCACCTCCAGTGAAGGGCTATGCCAGCAGCGGTGAGGAGACCAGCCAATAAGCACACAGGTGAAGGCGGTCCCTGGCCAGATGGCACCATGACCAGGAGGTCGAGAAAAATAAAGTCTATCTCGATCACTCACACACCTGGCTCTCCTCCTCTTGCTGTCTAGCTAAAAGCACTTCTTGATGACACTGCTTCAAGCATTTGCTCACTTTACCTATTATACAAGACAAACTTGCACATGGTTTTGAAATCCAGAAAGTTCAGGGGAAGGACAAAGACTACCACCAAACCTTTAACTGCTATAGCAGACAGCGACTGAAGTAAACGCTTTCCCACTGCAGAATTTCATAAGCCAAAGTCCAACTTTTGTTATTATGGGGTGCAGCTGGCGAGGGAGGACAGGAGCACATGCCTGGCAGGCACAGGACCCAGAGCCGTGGTATCCCCTGGCACGACTGGAGAGGCCTCAACACAAAATAACCATCAATGCTAGGAAGGACTTAAGTGCCACAGGGGCAAAAAAAATTTTAAAGCATTTCTTACCTCAATTGAAGTATTCAAACTATTATGTATTTGTCAAAGCATAAAGAATTGTAAGCAATGGTATTTGTGGGCAGTGGTCTAACGAGCATGGGCTTCAGCACACTCACATCCCTGGAGTATTCAGCCATCAGGTATCTTAATCAGCTGGGACCACATGGAATACCATGGGCAGGGAGTCCTGAAATAACAGAGCAGCATTTTCTGGCAATTTTCAGACTGCAAGTTGAAGAGCAAGATGCCAGCATGGCTGATGCCAGGTGAGTCCTGAGCTACAGATAGCCGCCTTCTCACTCCTCTTCCCTTGACCTCTTACTCTCCTTCACGTGCATACATATCTCTTCATTCCTCTTAGAACTCACCTCTAGTGAGAGAGAGTATGTGGGTTGAGACACTTGTGTTGCATGTGGCCAACTCAGGTTCAATCGAGACACCACCTAGTCCCCTGAGCCCAGCCGGAAGTGACCTCTGAACACAGAGCCTGGAGCAGTCCCTGACCTCTGCCAGGTGTGACCTCAAAACCAAAAGCCATGTTCA